GTCGTTGGTGAAATTCCTCGTCGCGGCTGAAGTCCGTTTCAGTCAGGTATTCGGGATCTCAACCCTAAGCAACTTCATTACCTTTTCGATTACAACGTCAACGTACGTGTTGATTATTAAGTCGGCTTTTTTATCGTGTTTTGTTGGCTGTAGATTGATTACTGCTAGTTTGCCGCAGTATTTCTTGTTGCAGATTGGGAGATTTCCGCTGGGGACTATTTGCAGGGTGCTGCCCAAGCAAATATTCAAATCGGCAATGCTGGAAATTAAAAAATTGTGTTTTTGGTGAATTTTGGGTCAAAAAATTGATTTTACGCAAATATTTCAACTGCAAAATGATTTTTTACCAAAATTTTATACTGTAAATTGCCTTTTGCGTTATTTTTTTGCTCCAAAATGTTTTTTTGTACAAAAATATCGAAAAAATCACTTTTTTTTGCAAAAATATCGCAAAAAACATTTTTTACCAAAAAAATTTATTTACCTTGAATGTAATTCTGATAATTTCAAATCATTATCAGGCAAATTCGCCTCCAATCCAAAGATTGTATCATACAACTTCCGCGACAGTTGCGACCATTTAATCTTCCCTAGGACAATTTTTATCCAAACATTTCTCACCAACACTGCCAGTTTGCTATGCATCTAACAAATTGCCTGTAAACAATCAAGAACAATAAATTTTACTCTTTTATTTACTTCCGAAGAAAACATACTTCTGGCATGTTTTACACTGCTTTCGGCAAACATATTCCCATGCAGTTCTTAAGTATTTCCTTGGCAAACCACTCCTCAAATGCAACCCATCAATATTATTCTGGCTGACAATAAATTTCACATATCCTTCCTGGAGCCAACTTCATGAAACCATGTGAGTTTTAGTCGAATTGCTTCGTGTGAAAAGATGTGTTAATTTGTGGGTTCCAGACACTTTTTTATTCTAAGTCCACACCATTGGGTCCTCTATAATCGGTAATATAAATTAAAAACAATTAAAATGATTAAACTTTGCTTTACCTAAAGTCTGGTATGCCTGCAGATGTACTGATGCGGCACCAGTATAATTAACAACATGTTTGGCCTGCAATATCCACTCAGCCAGCAGTGGCACTTAATATTGATGCTTTCTTCTTTATCAAATATCTGTGCATAAGAAAAACAAAAATGGGTGTGTTTAGCGTTGTTAACGAAACGATTTTCAATTGTTTTGCCTCCAGGGACACCAAGCACTCCTTTGTCCTCATAGTGGGAGAGTCCGTCCGCGTAACTACACACGACATCTTGAGCGTCGTTTCTCGTGCTTTCCTCAAATAATCATGTCTGCATCATTGCACACGGTGTTTACACGCACTTATATAATAACAATGCAAATTGTTTTGATTCTAACATTGAAGTGCTTGCAGGTTAGAAACACATAAACAAAGCGCCATTAAAATGTATTGATTTAAAATAAACCGTTTGTGCATGGTGCCTTGCAATAACATACAAATGAGAAAATTCAAACAAGTGCAGAAAAATTTGACTAAAAACTTAAATTTATAGATTAATAATCATCTGCAAGTTAAGTAATAGTGTGAGAATGAATACGCGCGGCTTTGGTGCGTTTGTGAACGTCTCTAAACAAACATGGCAAAACGCTTTGGCGTCCAGGTATAAATAATACGTTACTACACGTGCGATTATTAATATTAAATACTTTTACCAAGTCACATCGATACCAATCAGTAAAAGTATACAATTCGAAATCCCTTCAGACTGAAACATAAACAATTACATTTTATGCTTAAACTAGTAATAAAATACTTACTTCGGTATTGAATTGTCGTTGTCCGCAGTAAGAAATGACAAAACAAAGCTAAAAGCCGCAGGAAACCATGAATAAAAGTTTTCACCGACGGTTCTCTAGTAAATTGAAAGAAAACAATCGCAAGAATAATCCCTGTGAACGTTGCATTCGCAAATTTGCATTCCCTAGCGTCGAATTCATTTTCTCCGCCATTTTTATAATGTGTACGTGATATTTAACGCATAATTTCAACCGATTTTTTGCGTTCTTCTTCGTTTCCACGTCAAACACTCCAGACGAGAACGTTTTTAAATTCGCAATGTGACACGTTAATAATTCTACAACCCCACAAGTGAATGCAATGACTAAATTCCCGATGATATCAACATAGCGAAGGGCGTTCAATGATTGAATAGAGAAGACATAAAGTTGATAATAAGGATAATCATTGAAGTATTATTGTGGTAAATACGCGGGAAAAACAATCCTGAATGGAACACATGTCTAGTTTTATACTTTCTTCTTCACAGGATGATTTTCCGATGACTCCGAAAAATGCGGAGGATAATACGCCGAATTGTGTAGAGAATGAATCCCATTGATAATAAATTCATGTTTGTGTTTGTCAGGTTGAAATTTGTGGGTTTTGGAAAGTAGTGAAAGTCTCCGAGGGATTTTGTTAGTTTTAGGACGTTTTTTTGTTGGATCATTAATGAAAGAGTCACGCAGAAGAGATTTGTTGCTCCTGCTACAGCAGCGAAGGCAGAAAGGAGATCGTCGGTGGAGAAATTATCATTTGCTTGAAATAAATATAAATTAATATAAATAATTAATGGAAATTGATGAATTAATTACTTACAAAAACAAATGTGGATTATTTCAGCTGTTGTTGCAACAGTGGGGATTGTACTGATGATTAAACTGAGTGATGCTTTTAGAATATAAAGTTTGGATGTGAAGTTTTGTCCAACAGCTGGCCAAATTTGTAAAATTCGTAGAAAATAAAATGTTGCTTGGAGAACAGGAAATTCATCGTCATTTTTTGATATTTTCTCGGCTGTATTACGTATAAACTTTGGTATAAAGTTCATTTTGAGAATAGAATGTTAAAATGTACATTATTCAAGTTTATATACGTTAAAAATGTTTAAATTATTTATAGAATTAAAGATATTATTTATAAAAATGTCTTTTATTAAATTAATTAAAAGAAAAAGTGAAAATCAAAGAAATATTAAATATTTATCGAGAATAAAAGAATAAAAAGTTTTGAAAAAAGACTACAGATGTTGTGGAATGTTGTGATTTATGTAATTAATAAGTTCAAGGACAAAATCAAAGTAAAATTAAATATTTACGCGGAAATAACGGAGCTTTATGAATTACTAACAGCCAGAAATAAATTATATGGTTATAAGCATATAAATGCATTTTTACGCCACCTATATTTGAATAATAAAACTATTAACATGATTCATATCCTATTTAATCTTTGAATCCTTATTTTACCCTTTTAAACATTAATTTTTCGAAAAATAACTACCCTATATCCTTTTCCGTATCCTAATCTATCTCTATACAAAAATACATAAAAATTGGTTTAATGGTTCACGCGTGAAAGATTAACAAACAATCACTTTCGTTTTTATATAAAAACTAGCTTTAACCCGCGGCTTCGCCCGCGAATATCTAAAATAATGAAGTTGCTTCCATACGCGTCTGTAGACACAGAAGAAGTAACAATGAAGTAAAATGGCGGGAAGTTTAAAATGGCTGTACAAGTATAGTCTATGGAAGTATAGTGTACAGTCTCCATAATGTAGTCAATTGGATTTGATGTTGACATAGCTGTCGGTAATACACTGTGATAATACAGTGTGATGGTACTTTAGTACTTAGGTTTGAGCTTCATTGCTGGAATGCTAGATGGCGTTAAAATAGTCAAATAGCCAGATGCAGAGGTATTATTGGCTAAACAATTTCTTTATTTTATTTAAAAAATAATTTGTTTATTAAATAAAAAGTAGCCTATAACCATTCGGGGACCACTAAGAATATGTGTTCAAATTTTCATGGTGATCGGTTAAGTAGTTTTTGCGTGAAAGTGTAACAAACATCAGGACTTTTGCATTTATAATATTAGTAGGGATCTGAGTTATAAAAATGTTTTGTTGCCTTGTTCATCAGTTGTACTCAATTTTTGTAGCCCATTACGCCCCTAGGGCTCCAAAAACTTTTTTTTAAATTTTATTTATATTTACTTGATTGATTTACTTTGATGATTACTTGATTCTGTTAATAAAATTAATTCTGATGCATTTTTTTATAATTTCTGCTCTGTTAATTAATTCTATACCTCAATTTGCATATTGCAAATGAGTATAAAGTATTTTTTCGAACCGAAAAAAACTGCATAATGGGAAAAAGTTGCAGATTTCTTGCTACATTAGCATACATTCGAAATAAATGCCGAATTTATTACAATCAACAAAAAATAATAAATACAATAATCACATCACATCTAATTAAATTAAAAACGGTCAAAACAAAAACTCATAAATTGAATTAAATTCTTTATTTTATTACAAAAATAATTTTTTTATTAAATAAAAAGTTGCCTATAACCATTCGGGGACCACTAAGAATATGTGTACAAATTTTCATGATGATCCGTTAAGTAGTTTTTGCGTGAATGTGTAACAAACATCAGGACGTTCGCATTTATAATATTAGTAGGGATACATCGTTAAACACATTTGTCATCACAAATCACGGACATATAAAATCAATATTGTTCCAATAAACACTCTAGTTAATATCTATTCTTATATTTGCTATGCAATCGCATTCCCAGCCGTTTTTTACGTAACAACATGCTAGATAAAGACGATAAAAATTATCCATAAACATATTTCGCTATTCTAGAAAATCTAATAAGTACTTGAACATTTCATTTGTATATTCTAAATATTTGAACTTTACTCACCAACTGCGCTGATTTTTATTGTGAATATGATTACAAGACTTATCAAATAATCAATGTTTTTTTAAATATGACCAACTTGCAATAAATGTATGACTCTCAAATTCTCACTGCACAAAAACGTACCCGCATAAACATGAATCATACTTCTTTACGAGTAGGTACAATAGCAAACAAAATAACTTGAATACTAATATATGCACTGGCTTATCAAGTTACTTAGTACTGATAATATCCACATGTTTAAAGGCACGAGTATAAAATGAATACAATCGTGGTGAAGTGTTCGCAGTCGACACAATTATTTTTCACGACTTGAACGCATCAAAAATATCTACAAAATGGAAAAAATTGTTTTAATTATTGGTATTATATCAAGTAAGTCTAATAAATTAATTTATATATTTTTATAATTATTATTAATAAATAATTTATTTTTAGTACTTCCAAGTGTATTCGCTGTAGATTTTAACGTAACAAAACGCGAGAAATTCCCATATCAAGCATCCATACGCCGTGATGGAATTCACCTCTGCGGAGGAACAATTTATAGCAAACGACATGTTTTGACAGCGGCATCATGTGTCAACAACACGAAAGCCACCGACTGGCAAGTGATCACCGGAACGCTTAATTTGGAAAAAGTGAATGGTAACGAATCACAAATTATCAAGGTGGAGAAAATGTGGGTGCATAAAAACTACAGCGGCAAAAATGTACAGAATAATATTGCTGTGTTATATCTATCGAGCAATTTGCAATTTAATAATTACACTCAAAGTATACCGATTGCAAGGAAATGGGTCGCGAAAGACGCGCAGAAATGTATCGTCAGTGGCTGGGGTGCTAATGGGACACACTTTTATAGACAGACAGATCTACATCATGCTAATGTTACAATTGCCACTAAAGAAATGGACTGCAAGAGAACTTATCCACCGTTTCTTCAGGATGTTATGATGTGCGCCGGTGATGATTACTTAGTTAATCCCTGCACGGTAAGTTTATTAAAAAAATTATTCGTTTTTATATATTTTTCTACTTCTATCTTTAAAAAGCCGTTTTTTTCACGGTTTTGAGACATAAAAAGTGGTATTTTACTCACGGTCGTGACTAAAGTACTTTAGTCACGGGTTTTAGTCACGGGGTGAAGTTCTAATAAAAATAGAGTGAAAGTAGAAAAAATAACTTAAGAATCACCTCGTTAAACGTTGGTAAAGTGGCATTTAGCGCACTTGATAATTCATTAATTATTTTTTATTTCCCCCTTTAAAGTGGCACTTTAGTCACGGATAGCCAAGGCCATGACTAAAATACTTTAGTATTAAACAACTAAACTACTTTAGTCACGGGTTTTAGTCACGGGGTGAAGTTCTATTGGAAATAGAGTGGAAGTAGAAAAAATAACATAAGAATCACCTCGTTAAACGTTGCTAAAGTGGCACTTAGCGCACTTGGTAATTAATACATTATTTTTTACTTCCCCATTTAAAGTGGCACTTTAGACACGGATAGCAAGGCAATGACTAAAATACTAAAATACTAAAGTACTAAACTACTTTAGTCACGAGTTTTAATCACGGGGTAAAATTTTAATAGAAATAAAGTGGAAGTAGCAAACATTGCATAAACAACACGTGGCTAAACGTAGCTAAAGTGTCGTTTAGCGCACTTGATACTTAATCTATTATTATATATTTAAATTTTATTTTTTGTCGTTAGGGTGACCTTGGAGGACCTCTAGTATGCAATAATTCATTGTAATGGTGTGTGGTCACGGGAGAAGCAAGTGTGAAACCAGATATGAACTGAATGTACACGAATATTACCTACTTTGTTGATTGATAACGAAAACGACGAAAACCAATAGTGCCACTTCGATGACTTCAACTGTGATGTTTACCGTTTGTGCTGCGTTGTTCAGCATATTAAATAATTAATGTGTGTTAGGTATTTGTTAATTATATACGTCTGAATTATTATCTATGTTTGTAAAGGCATATTATTGTATTTTTCCAATAAATTTTTATAGATATGTTAATGTGTTGTGGGTTTTTTTTGCTGGTTATTTAAAGAAATAGATAAGAAATTGATGTTTTCGTTAAATAAAGGCTTAGAATATATTTTAAACCATTGATTTTTTTATGTTTTAAATTTTTTAAATAAATTTGCAGTATAAATAGGTTTTTGGCAAAAAATGAAAAATTTTCAATTTTTTTTTTGTTTGATTTTTTAAGTTTTTTTTTAATATTTTTCTGTTTTTCCAATCAAAACCAAATGAAAACAGTAAAAAATCATGAAATTCATAAAAGTTTCCTTTATAAAAAACGCAATATGCGACTTTTAGTCATTTTATACCTCGTGACTACCTCGTGCTACCCTAATCAATATTATATGTTTGTTTGTCACGCTTTCAAGCAAAAACCACTCAATCAATTTTGATAAATTTTGGTTTGTAGATACTTTAGAGTTTCAAGAATGACATAAGCTACTTTCTGTTGCAAAAATATAATTTACAGAATGTGTAAAATAAAAACAAACTGTGTACAACTAAATGTGATGAAAAGGCCCATTGAACGTGAGCCCTGGTATTTACGTATTGAATATTAAATTTTATTTGAAATACAAGTGATCCCATTAAAGCCCCGGGAATAACATATTACTCATATCATATATCCATATCAAAAAAATATGTAAAAGCATTTATTATTACAAGTATCAGCAAATAAATAAGTACTTGATAGGGAACTCAATTTGACACACGGTTTTGAGACATAAAAAGTGGTATTTTACTCACGGTCGTGACTAAAGTACTTTAATCGCTGGTTTTAGTCACGGGGTGAATTTCTATTGAAAATAAAGTGGAAGTAGAAAAAATAACATAAGAATCACCTCGTTAAACGTTGCTAAAGTGGCATTTTGCTCACTTGATAATTAATTCATTATTTTTTACTTCCCCCTTTAAAGTGGCACTTTAGTCACGGATAGCCAAGGCAATGCCTAAAATACTTTAGTATTAAACTACTAAAGTACTTTAGTCACGGGTTTTAGTTACGGGGTGAAGTTTTATTGAAAATAGAGTGGAAGTAGAAAAAATATCACAAAAATCACCTCGTTAAACGTTGCTAAAGTGGCATTTAGCGCACTTGATAATTAATACATTATATTTTCCTTCCTCCTTTAAAGTGGCACTTTAGTCACGGATAGCCAAGCCTATGACTAAAATATTTTAGTATTAAACTACTAAACTACTTTAGTCACGAGTTTTAATCACGGGGTAAAATTTTAATGGAAATAAAGTTTTAGTAGAAAAAATTGCGTAAACAACACGTGGTTAAACGTAGCTAACGTGTCGTTTAGCGCACTTGATACTTAATCTATTATTATATATTTAAATTTAAATTTTTTGTCCTTAGGGCGACCTTGGAGGACCTCTAGTATGCAATAATTCATTGTACGGTGTGGTCACGTGGAGAAGCAAGTGTGAAACCAGATATGAACCGGGAATGTACACGAATATTACCTACTTTGCTGATTGGATAACGAAAACGACGAAAACCAATAGTGCCACTTCGATGACTTCAGCTGTGATGTTTACCGTTTGTGCTGCGTTGTTCAGCATATTAAAAAATTAATGTGTGTTAGGTATTTGTTAATTATATACGTCTGAATTATTATCTATGTTATATGGCATATTATTGTATTTTTCCAATAAATTTTTATAGATATGTTAATGTGTTGTGGGTTTTTTGCTGGTTATTTAAAGAAATAGATAAGAAATTGATGTTTTCGTTACATAAAAGCTTAGAATATATTTTTAATATTATATATATTATATTGTAGTATAAATAGGTTTTTGGCAAAAAATTAAGAATTTTCAATTTTTTAAAATATTTTTCTGTTTTTCCGATTAAAACGAAATGAAAACAGTAAAAAATCATGAAATTAATAAAAATTTCATTTATAAAAAGCGCAATATGTGACTTTTAGTCATTTTATACCTCGTGACCACCTCGTGCTATCCTAATCAATATTATATGTTTGTTTGTCACGCTTTCAAGCAAAAACCACTCAATCAATTTTGATAAATTTTGGTTTGTAGATACTTTAGAGTTGCAAAAATGACATAAGCTGCTTTCTGTTGCAAAAATATAACATACAGAGTGTGTAAAATAAAAACCAAGTGTGTACAACTAAATGGGATGAAAAGGCCTATTGAACCTGTCCCCCGGTATTTACGTATTGAATATTAAATTTTATTTCAAATACAAGTGATCCCATTGAAGCCCCGGGAATAACATATTACTCATATCATATATCCATATCAAAAAAATATGTAAAAGCATTTATTATTACAAGTATCAGCAAATAAATAAGTACTTGATAGGGAACTCAATTTGACTATTTCTAACTTATCTTATCATCACATGTATCATACACACACGCATAGTTTTACTCACTATGCAAACCACAGCCATGTTCTTGATAAGCGCTTAGTGCTGCAGTAATATTAAATAAAACGCGATTCATCAGATCAAAAAAACCCTTCAAGCGAGAAAATGCTCGCTATAAAATATATTTAATCAATATTAACTTATTTAATCCATAACCAAGCAACATGAACTACCAAATACGTAAGAATTAATTTTATGTCGCCTTAGGTTTATTACTTTTTTTATTTACTAAAGTTTTGTTTTTTTAATTTTAATTTTTAGTTCTTTTTGCCTTCATTTCCGTAATTTTGGGCGTGTCAGCTCAAAACAGAATTGTCGGAGGTGATCGTGTCACCAATCGTAAACAATACCCATACCAAGTAAGTTATTCCACATAAAAACACAATAACATATTAATTAATCAACTAATTAATAACAATAACCTAGAAGTTTAACCTAGGCAACACAATACACATGTTTCTATTGCCTTAGATTTCACTACGACTTAGCGGCCAACATATATGTGGCGGTACTATTTACAAACCGCGTATAGTGATAACAGCCGCACACTGTTTGAAGGGAATGAAAGCGAGTCAACTGGAAGTCGTCGCTGGGGACTTAAACTTGAGAAACCCAACATCTCACACGCAGAGAATACAAGCAGAAGGGATTTACATCCATGAGAATTACAGTGATGTCGTTCTAAACGACGTCGGAGTTATTAAACTTAAGAAAAGCTTTACTTATGATGACTATGTGCGTAATATTACAATATGGAATGAGACATTATCAGGTAGTCCAACTGCTCCGGGTGTTAATTGCGTAGTTTCCGGTTGGGGAGCTACGCAATATGAAGGTTCAGTTGTTTCTGATTTGAGATATGTTAATATTAATGTTTTTACGGGTGTGAGATGCAGTTCTATTTATGGTAATAATTTTCAATCACCTGGGATGATATGCGCTGGTGATTTTTCAGGAGTCAAAAGATTCTTGTAGTGTAAGTAAAATTTTAGAGAAAATTACAAAAAATTTTTTTTCAAATTTTCAAATTTTTTAAAATTTTAGGGCGATTCCGGTGGTCCTTTGGTTTGTAATGGACAGCTTTATGGTATTGTCTCCTGGGGAGTTGATTGTGGTAAACCACATTTTCCAGGTGTGTACACCAACGCGTCATATTATCAAAACTGGATTGATACAAGCGCCGATGTTGATCAAGCATACTTTTTGCAAAAAATTTTGTTATACCTCGGTTGTATAATTACAACCAAGACATTTTTATACTAGTCAACAATAAATAATTACTTTATTTATTTCTTAAATTTTCTCTTTACCTTGGTGGAGTTCAAGTGGAAAATTTTGAATTTTTTGCAAAAAATCAATCATGTTTTATTGTGGTTCCATAAACTTGCAAATTATACAAGATAATGAAAACCTCCTAATCTCATAATCTCATAATCTTCGAGTTGCCAAAAAGGTGCCATTTAACAGTCGTCAATTTAAAGATATAAAAGAGATAAAACTTTTGGACATGTGCGATATGAATGTTTTTATAATGCTCTGTTAATGACACAAAGACAAAAAGAATTGAATAAATGTTAAACCAGGTTCATCACTCGGCTTTCGGCGATAAGCCGTTTGTTTGCTCACTGATTTCGGCTGGCTGTAGACTCGACTGAATTTTTGTGGTGAATCATGAGAGTATTGACGCCACACGAATTAAAACGCGCTACCATTCTTCCAGCATCAGTCTTAAAGTAGAATTCTAACATGACCCACGTACACCCCACTGAGGAACCTTCCGCTTTCGATACGATCATTGAACAGATCGGGAAAGCGGGTAGGTTCCAGAAACGTTTCAATTTCACCTTTAATTTTTTCCTGGTTATTGTTGCGGCCATGCCACATTTGAACCTGGTCATCAGTTTGGCTACACCTAATCACTGGTGTCATGTACCAGGTCGTGAAACCACAAATTATTCTATTGAAGAATGGAAGAGCATGACCCTACCAAAGTATTGATTAACATACCATGAAAAACATTATTTTACTAAAGGTTTTTCCAGGGAGTATGATTCCAAAGGACATCTTAGTTATTCCAAGTGTAAACGTTATGTAAACCCATACCTGGACCTACCTGGTAATGATACAGAAGATCTAGAGATGGATGTTACAAATTGTGATAGTGGTTGGGAATATGACCATACCTGGTATGATCAAACAGCACCAATGCAAAATGATTGGGTTTGTGATAATAACATGGTCTCAGCTAATACCTTAGCCCTTGGAAGGGCTGGGGAAGTAATTGGGACTTTGATTTTTGGTCAACTTGCGGATAATTATGGAAGAATGCCGGTGTTCTATGCAACAGTTGTGACTTTAGTGATTGGGAGAGCTATGTCCGCCTTTACATCACCCTGGGTCTCCGTTTTTATTATTTTCAGTATGATTGGGTCCCTACCTAGTACCTCAGTCTTCCAAGGACCACTTATCATAGCCATGGAGATCTCCCGAACTGAAGACCGTGCGTTGATAAGTATGATGCAATGTTTTGGTTGGAATGCTGGTATGGTCATGATGCCGCTCCTCATGTGGTGGTTACGTGATTGGGTACCATTTATGCTGGTGACGTCGCTCCCCTGCGCCATTTTCTTACTGTCACGGCCGTAGGTTAATTTTTATGGTGCTTTAATCCCATAACAACACAATCTATGTTTGCAGATGGATGATTGAGTCGCCGCGTTGGTTGGCATCCAAAGGCAAGATTAAGCGATGTTATCAGGAATTGGAAAAGGTGGCGAAAACCAACAAAACTGATATGCCCAATAATACTGAAGCTGTACTCAAAAAGGCCTATGATGTAAAGGGTACAGAAAAGAACCATACTATCTTAGGGTTGTTCTCAAGTCCCCGATTAGCAAAGAATACTATTATGCTGGTGTGTTGCTGGTCTATCCTTTTGATGATCTATATGTGTCTCACCATCAATGTGAACAACTTAGGTGGTAACCCTTTCTTGAATTATCTCTTTCAAGCTGTGGGAGAGTTACCTGCTTATATGATTGGGAAATATGTGAGTGATCATTATGGTAGGCGATGGACGAGTATCATCAGTTTTATTCTGACATCCCTGGCATGTGTCCCTATTATTTTTGTGATTAATGGTAGGTTTATCAAAGGTTTCCCACAAAATTTAAACAAAAAATGTTTTTAGATATTGCAAGTCACTTGGTGATAAACAGCCTGTGTATCTTTCTAAAATTCAGCGTATCGCTGGCGTTTTACTCTGTCAATTTACAAAGCATGGAAATCTACCCAACCTGTGTACGCCAGACTGGTATCTCCGTGGGTGTTATTTTCGGCAGTGGATTTGGCGTCGTCTCACCATACATTGTCGCCTTGGTATACAACTTAATTATATTTACTTGTCTCTTAGTAATTTATTATTACTATTAATTCTAACAGGGTACCTCGGTGAATGCTATGTTACCATACCTGATCTTCTCGGTAAGTTCCCTGGTAGCAGCCGTGTGTTGTCTTTTCTTACCGGAGACCTTTGGTCATCAATTACCGGAAACTCTGGAAGATGCTTCCAACTTTGGCGCTGATCAAAACATATGGGGTAGGTCAACATCTCGCAAGTATCCCCAGGATGGAGCTGATGTACCATTGAAACAACCGATTTAATTATGAATAGACGTGGAGAATAATAACATTGTAATTGTTGTTACTTATGCTTTTTTGCCGTATTTAAGTAATTAAGTTCCCATTTATATATAGGAAGTAATGTTTTGCAGCGTCCACAATATTTACAGAAAGTCTCATTATGGTAATCCTTTCGTAAATAAATAACCATTATTATTCCTTATATAACCTGATTCATTTTCTGAATAAGTCAGTATGAATGTAAATCTTTTATAAAACACTTCATTCAATAAACCAACAAAATGTCTCAAGATGATACTCGTACTTCAGAGGTACCCAACGCAATTGATGAAATCATGAAGAAAATTGGAAATGCAGGTCTCTATCAAAAAAGATTCAACATCGCCTTTAATTTGATCCTGTCATTTTTGGCCGCCATGCCCTATTTGAACCTGTATATAAGTCTAGCTACACCTGATCATTGGTGTCACGTGCCAGGACGTGAAAATACCAACTATACCATCAATGATTGGAAAAATTTAACAATTCCAAAGTAAATTATATTTTTTTATATTTATATAACCCCCGAATTAATAAAATTAATTTTTCAGAGAAGTAGATTCGAAAGGTCTTCTTAGTTATTCAAAATGCAAAAGGTATGACACCTGGAATACCACCAGTAATAAAAACGAAGTAAAATGTGATAATGGATGGGATTACGATCACACCTGGTATGATCAAACAGCACCAACCCAAAACAACTGGGTGTGTGACAATGACATGGTACCCTCTGATACCATAGCCCTAGGATTTGTTGGAGAACTTGTTGGTACCATGATAATGGGACACGTGGCTGATAACTATGGAAGAATGCCAATATTTTTCGCGTCTCTTATAATAGCAGTTTCCGGTCGGGTTATGCTCACGTTAACATCGGAATGGGTCTATGCTTTCCTCTTCTTCAGTTTCTTCAGTTCCCTGGTAAGCACAGCGTTGACCCAAGGACCATTTGTTATCGCCATGGAAATATGCCGGCCTAAAGATCGAGCGCTTGTTGGTGTGATTGTGTGTTTCGGTACCAACATGGGTCTATCCACTATTCCTCTCCTGATGTGGTTGTTGCGTGACTGGGTACCATTTATAATAGCATCTACACTCCCATGCGCTATTTATTTATTCTCACGACCTTGGATCATTGAATCACCACGTTGGTTAGCATCAAAAGGGAGGCTAGAGGATTGTATCAAAGAGTTGTCTAAAGTGGCAAAAACCAACAAGACTGAAATGCCCCCTAATGCTGAGGCAATGCTTAAGAAATACTGTGAGCAAAATGGTCATGATAAACATCAAAGTGTGCTTGGTTTGATTTCCAGTCCCCGATTGGCTAAGAATACTGTTCTTCTTATAACTTGTTGGTGTATTGTACAACAGATTTATGTTTCACTTACTATCAATGTTACCAATCTTGATGGTAACCCATTTTTGAATTATCTCTTTCAAGCATTGGCTGAGTTACCAGCTTATGTGATTGCCAAATACCTTAGTGATCGATATGGGAGGAGATGCAATACTTTCATCAGTTTTACATTATCGTCTTTATCTTGTTTTGCCATCATATTTTTAATCAATGGTAAGGATATCACAAGTTATGAACCCCACCTTGAAGATTTTACTAATATCTTTTTTATGTCTACAGATACTTCAATGGCCCCCGTGATAAATTACATTTGTATCTTCATGAAGTTCAGTGTAACTTTAGCTTACTTTTCAATTAATCTTCAAGCCCTGGAGATTTATCCAACTTGTATCCGGCAAATTGGTTGTGCAGTTGGAGGTCTCTTCGGAAGTGCTACCAATATTATAGTTCCTTATATTATAGCCCTCGTAAGTAATTATTTTTTACAAAATTATTTTATTTTAAATATTATTATTAATATTTATAGGGTGTTTCCGTAAATGCTACACTCCCTTTTGTGATATATTTATTATGTTCGATTTTGGGAGCTATTTGTTGTATTTTCCTACCGGAAACGCATGGCCATGACCTGCCAGAAACCCTCGCTGATGCAAAATGTTTCGGAGCAGATCAAGATTTTTGGGGGCGGCCAAAAACACGTCGGAATATACCCGATGGTGCGGATAGACCTCTTACTGAACAAACTTAACTTTTAAGCATTTAAATAATGTATATAATTTGTTAAATTATTTTCATACGCTTTCACTATGTTTAAATAGTTGAAATTAGAAATAACTAATAAAAATATTTCGATAAATTCGTGTGTTGTCCTCAAAATTACCTCAAACTGTGGAGTTGATAAAAACATATAAAAATGTTTATATCTCGCAAGTATCCCTAGAATGGATCTGACTTACCATTGAGAGAATTAACTTAATTATTAATGGATGGAGAGAATAATTATGTTTTCCTTGTTGCTGTTTATTGGGTCGTGTTTAATCAAGTGAATCGTCTCTTTATATCATTAATTACCATTCATATATAGGAAGTAATGTTTTGCAGCGTCGGTATTATTTATAAAAAGTCTCATTATGGTAATCCTTTTGCAAATAAATATATAATTGTAATTAATCCTAATTTAACCTTATTTTTTTCTGAATGTCTCTGTACTTGTAAACATTTTTATTACCCATTTACTTTTACTTTTTTTTATTAATAAAAAATGACACATGTAATTACCAAGTTTGAAATTTACGAAAAACACATTTAATGAGTACATAACTCAATAATAAGTGTATATTTTTATGAATGCCCTATTATTTCAAAATAATTCCAACCATTCGGTTTTCTGAATATAAGCAATGCAATACAATGTAGAACACTTTTGTATTGCGTCTTACGCATGAGATAATTTTGAAATAAAGAAAGATATGCAAATTTATGCTTTTCGCAAAACTCGAAAACAATTCGTAGTTTAGATACTGAGCAAGCGAAAAAAATTAAGCAATCGAAATATTTAAATATTTAATTTTGAGCAGTTAGTCTCAATATTTCAGTGGTTGTTACAACTTCAACATGGAAAATGACGCGGAAACATCCGCCATTGATTCAATCATGGAACAAATTGGTAATTCTGGCAGATATCAAACTTCATTCAACTTTAAATTCAATTTAATACTACCCATTCTGGCTGCAATGCCCTATGTGAACCTCATAATCAGTCTAGCTACACCTGACCATTGGTGTCATGTCCCAGGTCGTGAAAACACCAACTATACTCTCGAAGAATGGAAAAATTTAACTCTACCAAGGTAAACATTTTTTTTAAACAAAAAATTAAATTTTCAAAGAAAAAAATTCAGGGAACTAGATTCAAGAGGTATATTAACCTATTCAAAATGCAAACGCTTTGTAACCATGGACAACCCAGAAAACCTTACAACTTGTGACCATGGTTGGGACTACGACCAAACCTGGTACGAAAAAACCGCCCCAATGCAAAACAACTGGGTGTGTGACGATGAGATGATCCCAGCTGATACCATAGCCGTGGGTTTCGCTGGTGAAGTCATAGGAACCTTCATCACTGGCTACGTAGCTGATAACTACGGTAGAAAACCTATGTTCTTCATATGCTTAACAACAGTAATCCTAGGTCGTGTTATGTCTACATTCACATCCCAATGGGTCCTGGCTTTCCTCCTTTTCAGTTTAGTAGCCTCCTTATCAAGTACCATTTTGATCCAAGGTCCTTTGGTAATAGCAATGGAGATATCACGTCCTGAAGACCGAGCCCTAATCGGAATGGTGGTCTGCTTCTCTTGGAATATGGGTTTATCTATTATACCTTTCCTCATGTGGTGGTTACGTGACTGGGTACCATTTTTACTAGCATCAACTTTACCATGTGGTATTTATTTCTTTTCACAAAAATGGATAATAGAATCACCTCGATGGTTAGCATCCAAAGGGAAGATAACCCGGTGTATAAAAGAGTTGCGAAATGTAGCAAAAGCCAACAAGACGGAATTACCCTCTGATATTGAAGAGGTATTGATCAAATACTGTCAGGAAAATAGTCAAGGGAAGCATCAAAGTATTTTTGCACTGTTTTCAAGTCCAAGACTTACAAAAAACACAATTTTGCTGCTGTTATCATGGTGTATAGTGCTACAAATCTATATCTTTTTGATCATCAATGTTTCCAACCTTGATGGTAACCCATTTTTGAATTATCTCTTTCAAGCGCTAGCGGAGTTACCTGGATATGCATTAGCTAAAGTAATCAGTGATCGCTATGGGAGGCGATATGCAAGTTTTTTGGGATTTTTCATGACTTTTTTATCTTCTATTCCGGTTATTTTTTTGATCAACGGTAAAATACCTTCAAATTTTTGAATATTTTTAAAGTTATAATTTTGTATTGTATTTGTAGATCCATCCATGACATTGGCGGTAAATGCACTGTGTGTATTTATGAAATTTAGTCTTGCACTGTCATATTTCACTGTAAATCTTCAAGCGCTAGAGATTTATCCGACTTGTATCCGGCAAACCGGAAGTGCCATCGGGATTATCTTCGCTAGCAGTTTAGGAACACTTGTACCATATATTATCAACCTGGTAATTATTTTTTTTATATTTTAAAAGAATTAAAAACTAATTATTAATTTATATTATTATACAGGGTGTTTCCGTAAATGCAACTCTCCCATATTTAATCTACATGTTCTGCGCGTTATTAGGAGCTGTGTTTTGTATTTTCCTACCGGAAACTCTTAGCCATCAACTTCCGGAAACCCTTTCCGATGCGAGAGTCTTCGGAAAAGATCAAAATATTTTCGGAAAACAAAAACATCGCAATAATAATAATAACATCAACGATGGATCTGATAAACCATTAAAATCATAGATAATTTTTATAAATAAATAATTAGATTACCAAACAAAGGCAGACTTATTGACGCCATGTTAATTATGACTCATACATTTGTGTCTATTGTTATTGTTTTATCATTAGCGATACAATGCACAACGAAAAATGCATTATCATTTCAGATACACCTTATCACTTATCACCTGAAGGATAGATTGATAATATCTACAAAACCAAATCAATTTTTGACACTCCCGGATCAGTGGCAGTGTGTTCTATTAGAGAGATCATCATAAATAAAATAATTTAAAATATGCCTCTGAGTAATATACTGGCTGTTCCCTTTGATGTTACAGAAGAAGATCATGAAAGGGTGCGCATTAGAAGATTACAAAATTATGGAGACCCTGAAGATCCGGAAGATATCATTCCTGATAGGAATGATACATTGTTATCCAAACAAACAATGCTGAGGATTAAATGTTGTCAACTTGTAAGTTTTTCTTTTTTTGCTTTAAAAACTTTTTGTAATATTCTAAATTTTAGATTGCGACCATAGCAACAATAGTCTTTTTCATCTACGCAAAATCCCAATCTCGATGCATCAACGTAGACCTCCTAATATCCGCTTTCTTCGGAGCGTTATTAATGTATCCGATAATGATACTCTGTATACCCAACCATAATCAGTTATCGATTGTAATGATGCTGTTGAACCTGATAAGTTCCCTAATGCTCTTCACTAATGGATACTTCATCTTCACATCGTGGTACGCCTTAAAGAATTACCTGATAGCAGACGCCATTTTACCGGCGGATCCTATGTCAGGCGTAGCGACTTTTCAATTTCTCGCCGCCACGTTTTCGTTTATCATTGGGACCGTTTATGGCAGCGAGGTGTTCATTCAACTCATCGATAATATTCGACAAATATTTTAAACTTGACTGGTTAATTGTCATTTATTTATTCTAGTCATTATCGCGGTAGCTTTATCACTAACTGGAATACTTTTTTTTTGTTTCTTTATTCATTAAGTAAATTGATTGTAGAATAATAAATTTTATATTAAAAATATAAAACTTTGTATATTTACAAAGAAGTTTGTATAATAGAATAAAAATGTACCTTGTTTTATCTTTTGATAGCGCGCGGATGACTTAAGTCACATGGTCATGGATTTTGCACTTACTACCACCAACAAACAACTCACAGACGCGACTTAACCAGTTTATTCGAAGTTTCAGCTCGAATTTAAGGCAAATAGTGCATCGCAGCGACATCTATGATTGAATTTTAGTATTATATTTAAATATGCTATCTATTTACTACAAAAGTTGTAAAAAATGTAAAAATATGACCATTCACGTCTTCTTAAGACAATTTTTCACCAAAATTAAGATTCCATACACAAAAAACAAACATATTACGCCCAATTCATTGATTTAACTAACTTACTAGTAATAGAAATGAATAATAAACCATAAACCACCGAAAAATCTACGTAATTTCATTAAATCTCAACTTTTTTCAATGAAAAATATCTAAAACCACTCTAAACTAACAAACCTGACGTGGTACAACTCGTTCTCCATCCCGATTGGCAGGTGAACATAGATATTCGCGATATTTTCCTTATCATAACCTCCGACAGGACTCCCCGGTCCCGTCAGTCGCAGTCAGTCGCCAGTACGTTTACGTGTAAGTTCTCATCACTCCTTAGTCAGTACACCGGGCGAAACCAAACCTCATTACCTCCGCAAATCCTCAAGTTCACAATGAAAAGACATCGACCAACGAACGAATTGATTCTGCACGTTATAGTTGCAGTTCTTATATTGAACATAGCCAAAACAGAAGTGCCACGGCCGCGCGGTGTGTCCTTATCGCGTGCCGGACTGTACGACCCGACGAAGGACTTCACATGCTTCGATAACACACTAACGATACCATTCGCGCAAGTAAATGATGAATACTGTGATTGTGCTGATGGCAGTGATGAGCCAGGTACATCAGCATGTCCGAATAGTATGTTTCATTGCACGAATGCCGGGCACCAAGCGTTGAACATATTCTCGTCGAGAGTTAATGATGGGATTTGTGATTGCTGCGATGGTACCGATGAGTATGTGAGTAAAAAGTGTCCGAATACTTGTAAGGAACGCGGACAACATGCCAGGGAAGCAGCTAGACTCCGAGCTGAGTTGGTCAAAGCTGGAAAACAGCTGCGGAATGAGTTGAGTGCTGAGGGGATCAAGATGAAACAACAGAAGAAAGATAAACTCGTTGAACTCCAGAAGTCTAAGATTGAAGCTGAGAGAGTGATGAAAGAGAAAGAAGATTTGAAAAAACAAGCTGAGGAGTTAGAAAGTGTTGCGCTTGAAGAATATAGAAAGATTGAAGATGAAATTAAAGCTAAGAAAGCCATTGAAGAAGCAGAGATGATCAGAAAAGAAGCCACTGAGACTTTCGAGAAGTTCAATAGCAATGCTGATGGATTATTGAGCATTCCAGAGCTGCAAACGAGGCAGCCTTTTGATAAAGATCACAATGGTGAAGGTAATATAGGTTTACTAATGATTTGTATGCTGAATTATTAATTTTAATGGATTTTGATGCTTGCAGTGAGTGAGGAAGAAGCCAGGTCATTTTTAGACAACAGGGAATCAATAAATCTTGAGGATTTCATTGTTTATGCATGGCCACTGATGAAACCAATCATGATGCGTGAACAGGGCGTTTTTAAGCCACCAGTTGGTGTTGGTGAAGTTGAAGAAGTACCTTTGAATGATGCAAGGGAAGTTAATGAAGAACCAGATGAAGGTATTGTTCATAACCAGTTTTTAAAAAAGATTTGAGGTTATGTTTTTTAACAAAAATGTTCAAAACTAATTTTAAACATTACATACGAATCATGAGAGATAACGAATTAAATTATATATCAGATTGAAGATAAAACAAATATCTATAGATTGTTAATACTTACAAGTTTAACAATGAACTTTTTGGTTGTTAAAACTTAATTTTCAACTAAGAAACACAGGTTATTACAACTAATGTAGTGTTATACAGATAGGCAACCGAATATACACGAATTTAAAAACTAACGGTTTTACAGAACCTGAACCACCACAATATGACGATGAGGAAGACGATGAAGAAGATGAGGAACCAGCCGAGGAACACCACGAAGAAGATGAAACAGATACAAATACTAAAGTGGAATATGATGAAGAAACCCAGAAACTTGTCAGTGAAGCCACACAAGCACGCAGTGAATTCACCGACGCCGAAGCTTCCGTTCGCAACATCCAATCTGAAATCACTCGTATCGAAGAATACCTCCGTAAAGATTTCGGTGCTGACGAAGCATTTGCTGCCTTGGAAGGCCACTGCTTCGAATACACCGACCACGAGTACATCTACAAGCTGTGTCCCTTCGACAAAGCCGTCCAACAGGCGAAATCCAGCGCGGTGGACACACGTCTCGGCACCTGGTCAAAATGGACAGGCCCCGAAGGAAACCCCTATGAAAGCATGCTCTACGACCACGGGCAGGCATGTTGGAACGGCCCATCACGCTCCACACGCGTGCAAGTCTCCTGCAGCAGCGAAAACAAACTTATTTCAGTCGCCGAGCCGAATCGATGCGAGTATCTGTTCGAATTCAGCACACCCGCTGCTTGTTACGAAGTCGAACAGCATCCGGACGATGTCCATGATGAACTCTAAAGTTGTGCACCATATCATGTTGGGCGACATTGTGATTTTACACTAACATCATTCTCTACGCGAGTAATAAGCATAGTTTTTCAAACGGTTTTTGATGTTTGTACCAGTCTTACGTTTTTGTATGTGTTGAGAAAATGAACGAAGTAGTAAACGCATTCCTATTTTATACTGTGTGTACGTAAATAGCAAGAATAAAGAGCCCCAAGAACCGATTTTATGCAGTTTTTAAGCAAAAATAAACAGATTTACGTCCAGGAGAAAGTTTAAACAGAGATTATCTAAGAGATGTCGATAAACAATTAGATTATCTCTAATCAGTTATGTAATTTAAGTAATTTAAGTAAAAAATGGTACTTCCTGGAGTTACTAGCACTTCCTGTGCATGAATTCAACATTTCTAACGCGCTTCGTTGCATTGTGCATTTCAAAGTCACGCAAATACGAATTCTGCACGTGAATTACCCAACAGAACGAATTATATGGACTAATACAATGCAAAAACAGTAAAACATTACATAAACTGTGTTCATGTGCCAAAACGAAAGACGCCTAAATAAATCATGACTATTACGACGACCACAATGTAAGTACGTGTAAGTACGTGAATAAACAATTGTAATATCAATGGCACCACATAGACTCCAAGAAGAGTGAAAGCGTTTATCAAAAAATCCAACGCAACATACCAATTTTAGTGGTGGCAACAAAAACCGAATGAAAACCTCGAAGACGTAACTTGAAATCAGTTGTGAACGAGCCTCCAAAGCGTTTGCTTTGATTCGAATTCGTGAAGTGTGATATCGCATGCTGGAAGCGGTTCTCAAGAAGACAACCGGAGTGGAAACCGGGTCACTAGGGTGCTCCGAACTCCGCAAGGCATCTCGATGCACGAACCTGTCGTGTGTGTGCTGTGTGTGTTTATTAAACACGCGGATTATGTGCGGATGATTGTTTGACTAACATGACTGCTTGGTATCGGAAACTTGTGATTGTATTTCTTACAATTGTCACTTCATCAGCATCCAGAAGTAAGTATTTTACTCATAAAATCAAAAAATGGTAAAAAAATAAAAATTTAATGATTTTAGTTGATGATTTGGTCAGAAGATGGTCCCCATTGATATGGTTAGCCCCAGGAGAAAGATTCATGCCGGATAGCATAGAGGATTTCCTCCCACATACTCAACCAGGTGATTTTTATGGAAAAATGATGCCGGAACAGAATATTATCGGCGGAGACAATTCTACTAAATTGTATTTACACACAGTGAATGATATAGGTATATTTTCAAGTTGTAGAAATTCTGTAATTACTAAAAGATAAGTTTTAGATGAATTATTATCAAATGCATCGAATTCTTTCCTCTATGGGAAAGATCCATCTAAAGTTCCTGTCCCAGTTTATGCTCTGGTGACGAAATGTCACGAAAAAATCTTCCATGTGACTTATTGGTTGTTCTTTCCGTATAGCCTCGGAAAGGAATTCTGTGTCCTAGGGAATATTCCTCTCCCACATGTGTTTTCCACGTGTTTGGGGACGAAAATGTTACTGGGGAGTCACGTGGGTGATTATGAACACTTGTCAATGTCATTTGATGGTAACTCTTCATACCCTGCACAAATCTACTTGGGTACCCATGAAAGTGGAGTGTATTACACTCTCAATCGTAAAACAAGGTCGTTTGTATACTCAGAACAGATTAAGAGGAAGTTCCTTGCTCCTAAACCTCTATTCCCGAATGAAATAAGAATAAAAAAGAAGAGGATTGAAGTGTTTGCGTCGTTGGGCTCACATGGTCTATGGGCGGAGCCTGGGAATCATAGTTATCACAGGTTTTTAGGTATAGAAGATATTAGTGGTTATGGAACCCCTTGGAGCACCTGGCAGGACCTGAGGATATATCATGTTGATAGGGATGTTGATAAGTTTAAGAGGGAGGCTAATGTGGAGAGAGGGTTACCGAAGTGGATGTTCTATGAAGGGAAGTGGGGTAATCCGAGGTCAAATTGTTTGATTTGGAGGTACTTTTGTGGGATTACGGATGGACCACCGGGGATGTTGAGGTCTGTGAAGGATTTTTATTGTGATAAAATGTAAATATGTGATTTGGATTATGTTATAATATATTTAGTTGAATGTGGAATAGTTTTTTAACCAGATATTGGTCCCAAACAGCCAAAAATCCTTTTATAGCTGTGGACTACCTGCAAAAAGTAGTGGGGGTAACAAAAACACTCACTGGTGTTACTACATGTTAGGTAGCTGGTAATCTGCAAGTGATTAGTTACCCCCACCACTTTTTGCGGGTATACCAAAGGTATAAATAATCCTAAGTCGTCCAGAAGTCAAATTTCAGGATAAAAACATTCTTTGGAATCACGATACTCTATTTTTATACTTCCACGTACGCCATGACATTACTTTTACTATATCCGACCTTTAACTACGATGTAATTACTCCTACATCAATTATTCCAACCTCACCTTCACTTGATCGGATGTATCTTGTACAATTATTAAATAACATAAATTGAATTTATCGATTAATATGTTAAATACGTGCTCATCACGTAGTTATCTATTAGTAACGCAACCTAACCTCAAATTGAACATGCGCAGACAAGGTTAGCATCATTAGATTATTAATAAAAGAATTATTAATAAAAAATTAAAAATACGCACTGTACAGTTTTGAAATGAATAAAAATGAATAAAACGAACGGTAAAAGTCAATCATCCATTCCGAATTTGATTCTGGTTGGCCCTGACACTCTTTTTACTGCTTCACTGCACTTTAGTGACTTTTTCTTAGTTATTCACAACGTAAACAATGAAATTTTGAGAAATTAGGTAATATTTAACGCCAAATATTGAATATCAAACTTTTGTCCATGAATTCCATGGTTATAACAATTTTAAACTAATTTTAAACTAATTTTAACAACAATAGAGTCATTTTTATTATTTATTACCGGTGACAACAAAATATAATTTACTATTATTAGTATACCAACAAAAAAACAAAAAACGGTGTCAATTAATCCACTTTTTCGTTTTTTATTTTTGTTTTCTTGCCGTAAATTAACTTTAATTAACCAAAAAACTAGTTCTTTCATAATTTCGGTATTTAAATTAGTCATGTAGTTTAATTAAGCACACAATGCGTGCGCACGTGGTTCATGGTACGTCGTACAGCTCGAAAGTAATGGAAATGGAAACATGCACAACAGCCTTGTCCGACCTTGTAACAGTTCAACCCCAAACCACAAATACACCGAACACCAGTTTCAGTCTGATTTCATTTTCATTAAGTCGCGAGTCTTCCGATGCTCCACACACATGGTGTGGACGCTAACCATGGTGGTCAACATCGCGTTTGTTTGTGCTGTGATTATAAACTTTGCGAATTGTGATGATACACCTCCGCCAATATGGCAGACATTATCACTGTTCAACCCGGTTGAGAATTTCATCAGTGCGAACACACCAGCTGAAGAATCCAGTGATTTCGAAGAGTTTTATGATTTTATCATCATAGGAGCCGGAAGTGGAGGATCGGTCCTTGCTAATCGCCTTACAGAGAATACCAATTGGACTGTGTTGTTATTGGAAGCAGGTACCAATGAAAACTTCATCTCGGATATACCTTTAATGGCGGCTTTCCAAGCATCAACCCAATATAACTGGGGATATAAAAACGAACCACAACCAGGGGCTTGTTTAGGGTCTAAGGAGCAAAGGTGTAATGCTATCAGGGGTAAAGCATTAGGAGGTACCTCAGTGGTAAACTTTTTGATCTACACACGTGGTAACCCAGGAGATTACGATAGTTGGGCCCAGTTAGGTAACCCAGGTTGGTCCTATAATGAAATCCTTCCATATTTCATCAAATCAGAAGACTGTTCGGGTTGTAAGAACATAGATACAGATTACCATGGGTTTCAAGGTACCCTCAAGATAGAAAACCCTAGATTAAAGTCTCCTCTACTCAAAAAATTCCTCAGAGCCGGGCAGGAGTTGGGTTATGATATCACAGACCCCAATGGTCATCAACACATAGGGTTCTCCGAAGCGCAAGCCACCATGAACCGAGGGAGAAGATGTAGTGCCGCCAAAGCCTTTCTAAGTCCAGAAATACGTCAAAGACCCAATCTACAGATATCAACAAGGACCAGGGTGGTTAAAATCCTCTTTGATGACCAAAAACGGGCCACAGGAGTAGAAATAATCAAAAACCGACAGAAATTCATCATAAAAACAAGAAGAGAGGTTATATTATCAGCAGGTGCGTTCAATTCACCACAATTACTAATGCTATCAGGGATAGGCCCTGGACCACACCTGAAAACCCTCGGAATACCACCTATACAAGACCTCAAAGTAGGATACAACCTACAGGACCACATTTCATTCTCCCACTTGTTATTCTTGGTGAATGAAAGTATAACCGTCAGTGATACACTTGTACAGAACCCTCGCCACGTCCTGAATTACCTCCTCAATGGAGATGGACCTTATTCCATACCAGGAGGTGCTTTGGGTATAGGATTCCTCCAAAGTGGATATAACCACTTTGGGAAGGATTATCCTGATCTAGAATTGGTCCTGGGAGCAGGGGGATTAAACGGGGATACCATGGGTACCCTCAGGAGGTTATTAAGACTCCCTGAGGAAACCTATAGAAAAGTCTATTCTCCTGTGGTGAATATACCAGGATTTTCAATAGCTACGGTTATGTTGAGACCCAAAAGCATAGGTAGGGTTATGTTGAAGGACAAGAACCCTTTACACTGGCCCGCAATCCACGGGAATTATTTCTACGAAAGTGAAGATCTTGATGTTCTCATAGAAGGAATAAAGAAGGTATGGATGACTATGCATAATATTCTTTGACTTTGACCTTGAAATCATATTTAGAGTCTCCTTCATCGAGTAAAGCATGTTTTGGTAGTGTTACAACACTGAATGTTACTAAATTCGTAAAGTGGGTAAATTACACGATTAGAACGCGAAAGGTAACGCGTATCGCGCGCGTGTTGCAAGTTAAACTTGACTTGTTCTCGTTTTTTGTTATTACGCATATGCGAATGCTGACCAGTTCAAGAATTTTCTTGCGGCTCGCCTCTTGAGTGCTTAATCCAATCTGTACGCTTGTGTAATAACCCGAAATATTTATGTTCTCAGCATGCTTCGATTGGGAAATGATTACAACACGCTTGATTCGCTTGTGCACTCAGCGAAATATTAAATTTTATTGCATGCGGGACTCACCTGATATTAATTAATCGGATTTCGAATATTTTTGCATAATTTCCATTAAATTAACTTGCTTTCACATATTAACACAATTATTTCTCATTTGTAAACTGTAACACTGTGTTTTATTAAGTATTATTAAGTAATTTGTTAATAAATATCCGTTTCACATGTGTACACTGCACAAAACTGTCGCGAATGATATTTTTCTGTGTTTTGACATTCTGACCATATCAAGAAAGAGATTGTTTATCTCTATCGCAATATGCATCGTAAACATTCGACACAAACCCATGTTTATATTTATTATTTATATATTTCGTAATTTTAATTAAATCTATTTTCCAGGCAATAAAACTCGTGAATTCCGAGGCGTTCGATTTAATCAAAGAAGATTGGACTTACTACTGATAAATATGTGATAGTACAATGTATATTATTATTTTAATGATTAAAATTAGGTTATGTATGTTTGGTTGCATACAGTGTGAAAATAAAGTCTTTATCGTGATTATTTTTAACTGGATGAAACTTAATCGTATGTAAATGAAAGGTTTCCGATGTTTCTTTCAGTGTTTGATGTCTGTGGATTATTGTCATTAACTCTTTGTGCGTTTTTCACCCTTTTCCGTACATATAAACACCTGAAAGTCAATGACATGCCGAGTAAACCAAAGAAATCGATTGTCTGTTATTATTTATTGAGTGCTTCGCCCTTTTCACAGCGTTTTTCTAGTGTTTCTCAACCTCAACACTTTATTTAGTCTTCATCAGACCCGCGGTGAACTTCAGCATGATCACTGCGTGAATATTTAATCAAAAAACGTTTAAAACTTTACTTCAACAAGTAAACAATAAGAAATGATAACAAAAAGCGGCCTTATCGACTAAACATCTGGGTCACAAGTGTAGAAACTGTGCAAACTTCCCAATATTAACTTCAAACATTCAAGAAACGCGCTGATAATTGGTTATTTAGTGTAAAATGCGTTTTACCGTACTTTCTTTCCTGACTCTGAGTGGTTTTTTCATCAACTTAGTTTGATAAGCGCGCAATCTGATTGGAATCGAAATACGAGCCAGATCAACGTGGATTTATACAGATTAGTAAATGTAAATTGCATAATTTGACGGCGATAATAAAATTCATTGTTTTCATCGGCAGGTGAATTTAATGATCGTTGTCGGAGTAAAATGGAATGTCGACAGTTTCATTACGTGTCGTGATAATCGCACTTATCAATGCGATTTCATGTACATCCCGGACTCGAAAAAAGCGCCTATGTGTCGGAGGTATCTGGTATCAATATTGATTTAAAAACAATTATCAGCTACGTGTGACTTGTTTGTTTTTGTCAAGGAGGAATCAAAGCTGCGTTTATGATGAGTAATTGCATCGAAGGCGCATTTTGCATGAACTGCCGCGTGCAAATGTAAAACTCCAGTCCGATTGAACTGGAGGGATGGTTTGAAATGTGCAACAGCTAATAAATAGAATTTACGTTTGTGTTGTTTATGTTTTGTACATTTGCTGGCTCAATTATTGTAAAAATTTTAAAAAGATTTAGGTTTTTGAGACTGTAGGCACTATTGCCATTAAAGTTGGCGCAGTTACTGTAGACTAAAGTAACCTCAAATGCTTCAGATTAACGCGTGTTTAACATAATTCTATCAATAAATCTATAAACGAGATAAAGACGTTACTTTCATTGCAATTACTATGACTTATTTTGTAATCTGCGCCTAGTTTATACGTCTGATGATTTGCAACTGAAATATTTAGCAAAAAACTTGAAATTTTAAGGTTAAACAAGTAAAACTTACTTTTTCGCTATTAACTTTCCTCTCTGATCGTATTTTAATAAATCAGGCACTGTGT